ATTACCAATAAAGCCTTGTTTTCTTTAGTCTATTTTCATATATTTTTGTAGTCAGAAATAGCTTCCAATTTCACCTCTGTCATTTACTACTTAGATAATCCTAACAAATTAAATCAGTCTTTGCACATATAGATTTGGAGTAATTATTCTAACAAAATATTTAAGCATGTATGAGTTAAGGAAGATAAAATACATGAAAGGTCTTATCTTTCTTTCTCGTCCTGGCCCATCCTCCCTTAACATGATCCTTCCTCCTCCAAATGGACTAAGGATCAGAATTTCACATCTCTCTGAGATATTTTAAATAATCTATTATTCAAGTAAATTCAGAAAAATATAATCAAAGGCAGAGTACTGTGTTTAAGACTTTACACTTTTGGAACATTCATCCAGGCTTGTGGGCCTTCCTTCAGCCTCCAGCCATGTTTTTGAACATGAAAGAATTTTTGCCTTTAGAGAAGATATAGTTAGTACATTTTTTTAAAAAGTTGTTTCCAAAAATCCAATGATTCATTAAAATACTTTTGTTTCCGTAGGAAAAAAGTTTCCACATATGCACAGTAATCATTTGGCATTTTGTAGGCTTAAGCCTTGGGGAGTTAGTGGTATTTGGCTCCTGACATGGAAGTCTTTCTCTTGTCAGACAAATCCTTTCCCCTGAACATTCCTGTGAGAGTTTGTTTCTGCTGTGCGGATGGTAGCCTGTGAGGTGGTTGGGTATGGTTTGCACTGCTAAGGCTGACTCCTTGACACTGTTCATTGGCTTTACTTTTCAACTATTAACTCCTTCATTGTTTCACCTAAGTCGAGGATCATTTCACCTGAGGAATATCATTACTCTATGGTGGGGGATGAGTCAATCAATGCACATTAAATAAACTCTTAGGCTTTGAAATCCCTTTCAATGAGTTTTTTTATTTTGTTAACAATTCATCAAGGTTTCTTAAGAAAAGCATGACCATTTCTAAGAGATTTGGATAATTTTAGGGAGCGATTGTGCTTTTTGAGATAATATGAACTTGATTGCCTTTAGGACCTTGATGTCTAGGTTCTAACAATTAGAGGTTTATTCTCAAAGTTCTGTATTTTCTATATTATTCTCAAGAGAGAATATCATTCTAGGGAAGCTTTATTCCGAATGAATATGGGAATACAGAATATGGCAAAAGTGCACATGAATAGTATATTTAGCTTTTTTTAAAAAAAAGATTTATTTTTATTTATTCAAGAACGGGGTACAGGCCAGAGGTATGGGAGGGTGAGAGGATTCAGCAGACAGAGTAAGGAGCAGAACAGGTAGATGGACCGAAGACACTGCTGAGGGGAGGAGTGGGTGAGACAGGAGAAGTCTGCTGTGCCATGTGGGTATTTCCCTTGCCTGCTAGGAATTGAACCCGCGCTGCAGAGGCTGCGGACAGCTCCACAGTTCTGCGCTCAACCTGCTATGCCACCGGGGAGGCCCGGTATATTTAGTTTTAAAAAAGGCAAAGCATGCTTTACAGTTAAGAAAGTAGTTGAACCTTAAGAGTTAATGGAGAAAAATATTAGGATGGTGTGAATATCAGCATGTGAATCAATTACTGTTTACATTTTGCCTTTGTGCTTTCTTTACACCCACACTTCATATTTTCAAAATGTATGCAAATTCAGTGTTAGTTTTTTAAGAGCTATCAGGTCATTTGGATACATTAGAATTTTTATCAGTGATGTTGAATGTGAGACTACAAATGTATATGTGAAAGCATATGAGAATATGTGTATGTATCTGTATGTGTTATAAATATAAATATTTAACTTGGCTCACTATAATTAGTGAAAATTGATCCAACTATATCAAGTGCAAGAAGGGATGATAGATATGCCTGTGTCCTGCCCATTGGTAGCTTGCATAGCCTGTGTTTTATTTTATTTGAGAGTTCCCAAGAAAATGTATTTAATGACTTAAAGAGCAACCTTAAAGAAGTGGGAGAAATGAAAAACACATGATTTATAAGTATTTCCCAAAAATATTTAAATAGAAGTGTCAATGTAGTTTTATATAATAATAGGTATTCACATATCAAAAAGGAATATTTTCAAATATGCTTATATAAATGTAGATATGCATATATGTATAAAAGTCTGATATTGATATCTATTACCTATCATTTCTTTTCATATATTGGAAAGTATATAATTTTTAGATCATTTACTAATATCTATTTGAAAATTGGTGAAAAAAGAATAACATGAAATTGTGTAGTATTTAGAATCCTGAATAAATTAAATAATCTATAGATTAAATTCAAATTTGACGTAGTTTTCAAATCTTTTACACATATATAACTTTAATTAATTTATTTCTTCTAAGAATTAATTGCTAATTGGGATAAAATAAAACATGCCTTTCTTTGGGTAATTAACACAGCAGGACTCTTTCATTTAAAGAATACATGTTAAAATTAAACAAATGAAAATATTAGAGGCAAAGTCACACTGTCACATTCTGATGTTGAGCTAGACGTTAACAGAAAAAAATCAGTTTCATAGATTATAATGAATATTTGTGGACAGTGAAGCCACTGTGTCTATCAGTTCTGATTTCATTCCATATACTTTCTAATATGCCTAAGTACTCAGCAGTGTGTATGAAAATGATATAACTTTGGGTAAATGTACATGTACACAGAGAAACACTACTGTGATTTTATGAATAATTCCCAATATTCATTTAATCATAGGAAATATAGCTACTCAGTCATTATAGTCACTTATTTATCAGCCAGGCATATTCACCCATCAGGAATGAATTATCTATCCCTCGACAAGTTATAATCACACTGACACACATTTTAAAGAAAAAGCAGTACACGTGCTTATAAATAACAGCCCCTAAATAATAACTAGCAGTTTGTAACATGCCTGAACATTTCAGGATAGACCTAATAGAACAAAAACATAGTTACTGTTGAGGGGAAGGGTAAATTTTATTGAATGATACATTTATAATTTGGGGCTATAGATTTGGAAGCTAGCCATTACATTAGAAATATGAATCTGGGTTTTGTGTTTTGATAATATTTATAAAACTATGTGCTTACTTAGTATTCTAGAATGATTTTTTCCTTTCCACATTCATTTCCATCATGCATATTTTCCTCAAAATTAGAAAAATGATATGATAAAGGATGGGGTTTTTCCAGGTATACAGATAATAAAATCTCATTTCATCATTTGCATGAGTCTTATGATCATTAATTAAAATCCTCTTTTTATATAAAATTCAAAAAGAAATTGTTGATTGTGAAAATAATGCTCAATAAAAAGTTTCTGGAAATATTGAAAAGCAGGAATAAGAAAAGACAACTACAAACTTACAACCCAGAAAAACAAAGAAAAATAACAATTCAGTTCTTTCTATCCACACTAGATAACTGTGCCCTGCCTGCTTCTCACGTACACGTACATGTACCTCTGCATATTTTTTATGTGCATTTGGCGCCAATACTTATATACCCAGAGACTTTTGGCAAGTCACTTCACTTCTCTGTCCCTTACTTTCCTAATTCTAAAAATATGGATAGTAGTAACAGCCATGTTGTAGAATTCTAAAGGTTAAATAAGGTGGTAGGCATAAAGTTTTATAAGCATGCTTGGCATATATTAATTATTATTATAGCCATGTTCACAATGTAAAAATAGTCTAAAATTATCAAACCTTTTTTTTGGGCCTCCCTGGTGGCACAGCGGGTTGAGCGCAGTGCTGTGAAGCTGTATGCGGCCTCTGCAGCGCCGGTTCGATTCCCGGCTGGCCAGGGAGATGCCCACATGGTGAGGCAGACCTCTCCTGTGTTGCCTGCTGCTCCCCTCAACAGTGTACTTTGGTCAGTCTGCCTGTTCTGTTCACCACTCTGTCTCTGGTGAATCCTCACACCCCTCATATCTTTGTCCTGTACTCCAGCTCCTGTATGCTTAAATAAATAAATCTTAAAAAAATAATCAAACCTTTTTTACTTCTATTTGAATGCCATACTTTCTATTGTTCATATTTTATATTATTTGCAGTGAACCATAATAATACCTTTTTCCCTCCTCTATGATAATGGTGGTAAGTGGAACATCTGTAAAATATGTTCCATGCAAAATGAATCTTCACACAGACTTATTTTGTCATTTTAGTTTGATTTTTGAGAAATGAGTTTGGCACATCTGCCAAGTCTTTTCATAAGATGCTACATTCCTATTTTTATTTCAGTTTATTTCATTTGTGAGAAGCTCTTTTCTTCTTTACCCCTCCCCCAGACAGTGAAGACTCCTATTTTCCTTTCCTCCCCACCCCAACTATAAGGTTGCTATACCTAAATCTTTAAAATAGAAAATAGAAAGAAAACTTGGAAGGAAATTGTCACTTAAAAATAAAATCATTGTCTTTTTGGTGGGCCTCCCCTGGTGATGCAGGTGGTTGAACACAGTGCTGTGAAGCTGTCCGCAGCCTCTGCAGCTCTGGTTCAATCCTGGCCGGCCAGGGAGATACCCACATGGTGCCGCAGACCTCTCCTGTCTCGCCCGCTGCTCCCCTCAGCAGTGTATTTCAATCAGTCTGCCTGTTCTGCTCCTTGCTCTATCTCTGGTGAATCCTCTCACCCTCCCATGCATCTGGCCTGTACCCCGGTTCTTGTATGAATAAATAAATCTTTAAAAAAATAAAATAAAATCATTGTCTTTTTGGTATATCTAGATTTTTTAAAGAACAAACCTGTTTTTCATACACTATAAATATGCCCTCAGGAAATGTTGTTTTTTTTTTTTTTAAACAAAATTAGAAATAACAGACTTTTTTTTTAGGGTAGGAAGGAGAAAACAGACTTGGGGATGGGGAAGATGTAGTAAAGCAAATGAAGAAGAGTCATTATGCAAGCATATGTTAAAATTTAGATTCTTTTTTATAAGTGAAAAGTTAACTAGTGGATGCTTTCTTACAAACTGGTCTTTGATACTGTGTTTTGTTTATTCCATCCCAGAAGAAGTTAGCGGTATACAGCAAGATGCAGGACTCTCTGGAAGTCACCCTTCCCAGCAAACAAGAGGAGGAGGAGGAGGAGGAGGATGAGGAGGAGGAGGAGGAGAAAGACCAGCCTGCCGAGATGGAGTACCTTAACTCTCGCTGTGTCCTTTTCACTTATTTCCAGGGAGACATTGGGTCAGTAGTGGATGAACACTTCTCAAGAGCTTTGGGCCAAGCCAGCACCCTCCATCCAGAATCTGCCATTTCAAAAAGCAAGATGGGGCTAACCCCCCTGTGGCGAGGTAAGAATTCAAAAGTAGATGCTCTCCAGGGCACTGTCTCTGTTTCGCAACTGCCTGTACCAGGTTCCAGCTGGAGACTTGCCCCTGGAGGACGGATATCCACTTGCTCTTTAATTTTTAAGGACAGCAAGGAATTTCTTTCAGACAAACAGCTGGATCAGTTTTGTCACATGTGGAATGCAGGGTTGGAAAGGATGCAGTCACACCCCTTAAATTCCTCATGGAAAGTAGTGATGCAACTGGCCCGAGTTTATAGTGGCAGGATCAAGCTGTGAAGCACCATTCCTGAAGCCCCGATGGCCCAATTTGGATCTCTAAGTAATAGGCGTGCCGGGATCAGCTTTGAAAAATTAGCTCTTGTTCATTCCACTAGGTGCTACGTGGTGACATAGCAGAGATCTGAGTATGACCCAGGAATACAGACTTGAAGGCCTCATGTGTTCTCTTGATAGCTGTTGCTGTTCTGCTTTGTTGTGGTATTAACTCTGTAGTGTACAATCCAGACATGATCGACTGTATCCACAAGGTTTAGACTACTGTTTTCACCCTGGTAAAGCACAGCAGTTGATTTGGCGTCCTCTTCTTTATGTCTCTACACAGAGGTCACAGAGGAGTGTTTGAATCGGTTGTCTGGCTCACATAAAATCATTGGGTGCCACCTTGAGGAATAGTTAATTACAAGGTTAGAATAAACAGAAAATGTAATTTCAATGATTGTTTTACAGAAATGTGTATGGATGTTTCTAATGAACTTGCCTGGTTAGAAGATGCACCTAGTAAAATTGTTCTCAAAGTGTGGATTTCAGGACCTGGAAAACAGGTGTCACATGGAAGCATATTAGAAATGCAAATTCTTAGGCCACACCCCTGATCTACTGAATCAGAAACTCAGGGGTAGAGTAACCAATATTTTAACCAGCCTTCCCGGTGATTCAGATGCAGGCTCAAGTGCTGTACTAATGCAGACTGCAGGCTCCCTTACCTCAGACCCATGGAATCAGAGGCGCCAGAGGAAGGCTCTGGAAATCACAGTTTCTCAGGTGCCCCAAGTGTCCCATGGCATGGAAGGGCTGGTCACTTGGGGCAGGCCACCTGCGGTAGGGGCAGGTCAGAAGTGATGAGTGGTCCATCCCTTCTCAGCATCAGAGGGATGATTTTGCTCTGACAATGGAGAGGCCCTGGCCCTGTGGAACTATTGGACTTGACCGGTCGCTACAATGCTCTTCTTTTTTGTGCCTTTCCTTCTATTACTCCTCCCTTCCCTTTCATTTCCATTCCCCCTTCCCTACTCTCTCCCTCCCTTCTTTCTTCTTTTGAGTAAATATGAACAACACTAGGATAAAAAGGAGAAGGTGGAATACAAACTCAACTGACTAAGATCTTGGGAGAGGTGAACTGGGAAGCATGCTGCTTATTTGATTGGTAAATATTAGGAACTTCCCATAAGAACTGAAAACTTAGCCTTTTGAAGCTTCAGATGCTTATGGAATCAACCAGTGTCCCGTTTTTCAGTAACTTGTAGAGGGCGAAAATAGGAAAAACTTCAGTGAATTAGCTGGTGGATAGTTTGATATATAAAGTCTTATCAGGATAATTTGCCCTAGGAGAGTAATAAATGCCCATTTCTTTTAGCATACTGACATATGCAACCCAGAGGTCATTTAACCTGGAGTAAAGGAATGAAGGTTCAAAATTATGCCTCAAAATTATGCCTATACTCTAAAGTATAGCCACAAGAGTTTTAAGTGAGGTGTCGTCTATTTACAAAAAAAACCATGTAATTCAGTCTTTTGCATAATTTCCATGACTGAATAGAGAACACCTTTGGGCAGACAACAAATTTCAGTACAGAAAGGGTGGATAACAGTAAAGTTTTAGAAATTATTGTTATAATTTTCTTGGCATAACTTAGATTGGGCCTTCAATTCTAGGCTGTTTTATTAATTGGCACAGAAGGCAAATATTTATTAAGCTCTTATTTTGTGCTCTGTACTGTTTTAGACAGTGGGGCTATATTAGCAAATAGAAGAACATAAGAATCATATTCATGGAGCTTTTTAGCACATGAAAGAGTTAATAAATATATAATGAAATGCAAGGTGGTGTTTTACTCAGAATGATAATAAATGTTCTCTCAGAGACTACTACACCTGAGCATGATCTGAAGGAAATCAGAGCGTTCCTCATTTTGTGACTATTTAGGGAGGAATTGTATGATGCAGTGGGAACACCCAGGGCAAAGACGATGAGGACGGATTGAACTTGAACTCACTAAGAAGAAAAAACACTTGTGTGAGTGTGGGAAAATGAAAAGCGATGGGTAGAGACCAGAGTGCTTAGAGATCTGTGTGTCAGGTTAGTTTCTCAGAGTTGCCCAGAGAAAAACAGCCTGCTCTTCATTTTCCATCTTCCTTTCCCATTAAGATGACATATATCACATACAGTTGTCTTACACCATTTCCCCTGATACTCAGGATGACACATTTCAAAATGGAAAAGCCAGAATAAATATGAATTGAATGATTAAGTTACTTAAATGAACCAAGTATGCCACATCCTCTGGATTTGAAAACCAAGATGTCCTCCATAGATAATGTATTGGTAATAAGTTGTTTGAAATCTTTGGATATCATTTTCATATTTATAGAATAAGGTGATTGAATGAAGTGATGTTGAAATTTTTTCTTTGGAAATTTCTGTGATTTCAAATGTATTTTTAAGTTTCAATTTGCAAACTGAACTTTGCCTTAGTTATTTTTAGTTGTGAATTAGTGAGTCTAGGTAAACTTACCAAATTTGCTCAGGATTCATAGGACGTCCATAAAATGTAATTAAAAATGCATTAAATAACATCTTAGAGAGAGATAATAAATTGAGATTCCCATGTCTTATTGGAAATTTAGTATCAATTGCCAAAGCTACACACATTTGGAAAATTTAACTTTTGGATTTATGCTACTTCGGGTTCAAGTCTGGACCTTATTACTTTCTGCTTACAATGTAATCTTGGGTTAATTAGGTCAAATCTCTGAACTCAACTTCAACTGTCATCTGTGTTTATTAAGGTCCATCTCCTAGGGTTATTATAAAGAATTTTTTATAATGCATATGAATAAGTTAGAATACGGCTTGATGCAAGTCACTAAATGCAGGTCAGATGCCTTTTCTTCCTTCCTTGGCTAAGTTTCCACTCATTTGGCACATAGAAAACCAACCATTAGTCTTTATCCAGAAACAGTGTTTGATGGAAATTTGTATCTCTGGCACAAAACAGTGTTTTGGACATAGCAGGTATTCAAGGCGATTGATAATGTTGATGACCATGACAATAATACTTTATGCAGGATCCACTGACCAGCTGTATTAAATTAAAGAGTCTAATTTATAGCATGAAGTTTTTACAGTGCTATACAAATGCTATAGTGCTACAAAGGAATTTCAAACTGAGTTATGTTTGATTGCAGAATATATTTCCATAGTAAATCTTCAGACAAAGGACAGAGTGTCAGCTAATAATGGAATAATGCTCATAATTTGAGTGTGTGTCTTGACAGAGTTAAGAAAATCCTCTTTCAGCAGCTGTTATAGAAACAATTGACACAGCATCACATCAATTACCTCTCATCCTTTCTATGTTTCAACAAGGATTAAAAAGTCCTTTGCAGTTAAGGAAACCCAATGAATCTGTCCCTGTGTATCACCATTCAATAGAAACATAGGCTTCAAATATGTCTATGTGTCCATGCACAAGTATTATTAAAGTGTGTGTGAAAGAGAGTGAAAGGGGAGTAGTTAAGTCATAGCAAAGTACATCACTGGCTTGAAAACCATGCTGTATGATAAACTTAGTGACCTTTTTCCTTTTTGTAGTTGCAAAGTACATATTTGTTGCTTGATTGGTCTATGTAGTGTCTGCTTGTAGCAAATCATACAGGAAAGACCTCTCAAAATGAGAACTGCAAGTAGGCAGCAAAGTGGAGAAAGGAAAAGGAGGGCCTGTGTGAGGCTGGGAAGAAGAGTTGAGCCACATCTCCAGGGGACACTAGCTGTAACCCTGCTGGGAAGTTTAGAGGGAACACATGAGAGGAAAGGGCAGCCTGACCTACACTCTGGCCTCCAGAGAGTGTGGACACCAACTCTTGAAATTCTCATTTCAGAGTGACAAGGCCTATTTTGAATAAATTGAGAGCAAAAAAATCTAGGACATTCTTTGGCCGTAATGGCAATGCCTAATTCCTGAATGACATTGGAACACTGTATCATTTCACCTTTGCCCAAAAATGGGGATTTACTAGAAGAATTAGTTTGGGAATAGAACAAATTTTTTCCCCTGAGATTAATACAAAAGTAGATATTATCTTTTAACATGGGAATTTTAAAACAATGTCTATTGTAAGAATATATTTCCTAGAGACTTTTAAGAGGACTTAAGATAGAAATTCTACAGTACTTCACTTCCCTATTTGTCCTTTCAATATAGTTTTCATTTTTTTAAAGCAGTATAATATTTGTATTTTTAATTAAATGTTGAATTTTCTTTTGCATAAATGGTCCTTAGATTTTTTTTTCAGAGACATTTAGAGTTAATATAAAAAGTATCCCAGTTACTATGAAATGTATAGAACCACCACTCAGTGTTAAACTCCTCTATGTTTCTGAGTCATATTTATGATACAAATCACAAAGTGACATTAGTGGGCTTGCTTTGGGTGGATTGTATTGAACAAATGTATTGATTTCATTCTTTTTTATTTAGAAATAAATGTATATATATATATATGTAATCTTTTTTTTTTTAACCCAAATGCAAGCTGGTCCAAAGTATATTTAGATTTCTTGTAGGTATTAGGCTGTCAGTGCTAACATCTTCTAACTGTGGAGTCCCAGCCCAAAGTCACTACTGAGTGTTAATATCATACAGTTGTGAATTGCCTCCACTAAACCGAAAAGTAATATAGCATGGAAATAGCTCATGCACATTTTTTTATTATCCCTTTTCATCCAACAAATATGGCTGTGATTAAGTACTGGTAAGCAAAGAGTCATGTAATGAAAAAAATTTACATACATATGAAATAAGCAGACTGATTCTCATGCATGAAACAAAGCATATCATCTGTTTCTTTGTATCAAGATTTTTTTTTAATAATCAAGATACCAAGTAGTGGTTTTGAAGTGTAGACTGTCCATAAACATTTTCATTCAATATTGTTTCATTTACTTGTAAAATGCAACATTGTTTTTGAAAAGAGCTGCATAGATCTCTGCAAACTCTATATTAATCTCAGGAGACATTCTGACTAGGAAAATATTAAGTTACTTCTAATTTTATTTTTCCCTGAGGCATTTTAAAGCTTTGTTCAATCTTTATGGAGTGCATTTTTAAAAATAGATTTCCACTTTCAATGATAATGTGTTCACTAATCACAAAACAATACTTTATAAATAGGATAATATTTTTGGTAAGAAATTTGTTCGTAATTCACATTTGTCATGCATATCCAGAATACTTAGGTATATATAAGATCGAGTCCATGTACAAACAAATGGAAAAAAAATAAAAAGGAAAGCATCCAGGGAAATGGCATATGACATTTTAATGAGGGATTTTAATAAGGGTACTATCTCTGGCACACACCTGTGGGTTGATTTCAGCAGGTTTTGTGGTAGGATTCTGGTCCCACCAGGAGATGGAAGTTGTGAACAGTATGAAGGGCTTGATACTGAAGACTGGATCTGTGAATCCAAGTGGCAGATTGGTGGTGGCAAAACTGCACTATGTTGTACTAAGGAACCTCTAGAAACTCACTTTTAGGTTTTAAACTTTAAATATTGGCAGCTTCTATTATATGTGTGACAGCAATCGTCTACAAATGACCCTCATTTAGGCAGCTAAAATTTTCCTCTTACAGCTTACATAATTTTCCTTCTTATCATTAGCAGCCATTTTTCATATGTCAGATGAAGACACATGTTAAATAAAACAAATTGCCCAGTGGCAAAAAGTTTGACTTCAAGTGCTTTATCTGATGGTGATTGTGAAAAAACAAAGTCATTCAGTTAAAAGATTTTCAGGACTGTTGTAGACTTGAAGAGCAGTGCACACTTCCATCTTTTGTCTCTTAAAGAACATCATTTCCTAGATTTTCCCAAGGGTTTTCAGATCAATGGAGATTCTTTTGGGGAGAGACTTCAGTGTGAGACTTTGAATAGCTGTGTGTTCCTAGCATGAATGGGGGGCTGATGGGGAGAGAATAGAGAAGCTGGTGTCCGCTCGTGCCACAGCCTTTAGGAAAGTGGAAAAAGGAAAAGTTTGAGCACCACAATGATGTCCTAATTATATTAGTCAAATTATTAAGCATGGGGTGGTTCAAATTATATAAACTTTCCCCGGCAAGGAAACCACCCTGGCGATTTCTGAAGCAAGAACATGGATATGTCAGACTTCTGAGCATTTTTATTTCAGAGTACTTCTTCAGCTATCCTTTTTCTAGTGGAAAGGTCGAGTCAGGTTCTTTTCTGTGGAACCCACTATAATCTCTTCTAATATATGCAAGACTAATGTGATTAACAATCTTATCTTCATCTATAGGTAAAAATAATTCATGGGTCATAGAACGGTAAAATGTCATATGGAGCCATAAGACATTTGGAATTAAATGAACACACATGCCTCATATGTAGTGAGAAACTGAGAAAGGAACTGAGCCACAGGAAATTTAGATAGATCCATTTGGAGTCACAAAATGAGGCAGAGTAAGAGCCAGGGGCTAGGTCTCTGGCTGAATTCTCTAGACTCCCAATCCAGTACTCTCTCACACCACACTGAGGACACTTTGATATAGTTGGAGGTATTGATCTTTCAGACAAATCTGAATATATCACTCCCTAGATGAAAACTTTAGAACTCTCTAGACCTCCTCCGGTCACAGCCCACATTCAGTGCATAGCTGGCAAAGCCACACCCTGCCCGGTTCCTCCTTTGATTGTAATCTCTCTTTTTTTTGAGTGTACTCTCTGGTGTGTGCGTGTGTTTATGAGTGTGTATATGATTTGGCACCTTTTTTCACATATTTTTTCATTTGCCTAAAATACTTCTCTTTACTTGTTCACAAGACTAGCCTTACTCAACTTTTCCATTTATTTATTACTTTTTCAAGACTGATTTATGCCCTGTCTATGCTGCCCCTTAGGAAAGCTCCTAGCATATCACATGAAATTTGTCTTTTTACTTATCCAGCCTCCTATATTGTGATTGAAAGTGACATCTGTCTGGTCATTCCTGCCTTCCTATGTTTTGGACATAGTTGGTCATCTATAATATTTTGATGATGAAGTGGAAAATTTAATTGAAACAGAGTCAGGAAGGGCTTATCCTCTTGTTTATCTCTTAAGCATTATTCCTTGATAATGTTTCTTCTCCAAACACTTCCTGAAACCCATGAGCTCTAATTGAAGCTCCTACCCCTTACGATTGCCACAGAATCTTGACCAAGTTCTTGCTGTTCAGGTTGTGGTTACAATTGTGCCCTCTAGTGGCTCACTTGTGAAGAATGTAAGATACCCAGGTAGGCTACCTGTCCAGGGGGCCCAACCTACTACCTCAGCCAGGAAGTCTTGGGCTTAGTCCCAGACCAATTTCCACATCTCACACAAAGGGGTAAAAACAATTACCTCCTAGGACTGGAGTGAAATTGATCATTCATTCAACACCCTAGCTTAGTTTTGGACAGTTGATTCCAACAATTTTATGGTAACTAATTCTTCTCAGTCCAGAGACTACAAGATCTCTACCAAAAAAGAAAACCCCTTGGAATACACTCTTTTTGATGGAAAATGAGTGTTGATGAATATAGTTATGATCTTTTCGTTACTTTTCAACAGTCAAATGTTTATCTTGAATGAAAATTGTACTTAAATTTTAAAAGAAATTGTTAAACATCATTTCTACCCACCAGAACACATGTGCTTTCTTTACCTGCACTATTCATACCCAGAGCACAAGCTTTCTTTACCTGTGAAGCAGGTACTTACAACCTCTGCTCAGATCTGATAACATCAAGGCACCCAAGGGGAATGAAGCTTTTCAATCCCAGACTTGCAAACCTCAGCGTAGACTGTATATAAGTCAAGCAAACAGAGGAAGGACTCATTCAGACCTTGAACCCTGCACACTGACTTTGCAGGAGTGCAGGGCTTACCTGGTATCAGTTCACCTTTTGTGTGAGGAGAAAGAACGTGCACTCTCATTAACCTGCTAAAGATACTGAACAAGTAAAGGCAAGTCTATCACAGAACTGAATCTTATGTAAATAATTTGTTTTTCTGTCTTCTCAGACAGCTCAGCTCTCTCAAGCCAGCGGAGTAGTTTTCCAACTTCCTTTTGGACCAGCTCTTACCAGCCCCCACCTGCACCCTGTCTGGGGGGAATTCATCCTGATTTCCAGGTCACTGCACCCCCTGGCACCTTTCCTGCAGCTGACCCCAGCCCCTGGCCAGGACATGGCCTGCACCAGACTGGCCCGGCCCCTCCTCCTCCTGTGTCCGAGTCCTGGCACTATCCCTTGGCATCTCAGGTGAGCCCATCTTACAGCCACATGCATGATGTGTACCTGCGGCACCATCACCCCCACGCCCACATGCACCACCGCCACCATCACCATCACCACCACCACCGCCCTTCTGCTGGCTCTGCCCTGGACGCGTCCTACGGGCCCCTGCTGATGCCGTCAGTGCGTACAGCCAGGATTCCTGCTCCCCAGTGTGACATCACAAAGACAGATCCCACTACAGTCACCACTGCTACCTCAGCGTGGGCCGGAGCCTTTCACGGAACTGTGGATATAGTGCCAAGTGTGGGGTTTGATACAGGTGAGCTGGGGTGTTCCTACTTTCCGTAAAGTGGAAGAAAAGTCAAGAAATGTTTAAAAAATAGAGGATTTTGAAATACTTTGAAATTTACCCTTATTTTGTAAAGTCAAGCTTTGTCAACATGTTTAGAGAACCTAACCATTTTGCAATAATTCCTGCATTCCTGCAGAAACTGGTATAACTAGCTCATGAAGTACAGCCTGAGAATGATCTTGGGACTTTTCTCCCATGTCTTGTGCTAGTAATCTAGCCTAACATAAGTAATCTGGGGTACCTTTTGTTTACAAAAAATTAAGCACATTCTTTAAATCTCCCATGTCTCTATGCTCTACACTATGTGTAATGCAGAATAGAATTCAGAAATAGTAGGTTTTGGTAATTCTTCTTTCTCTCCTTTGTGTTAGGGCTTATTGGTGATTTATAGAACAAACTGTCTTCTGAAATATGATCTGTGGTCAACTTTTTTGAAGAGTTAGGAAATGTACTTCAAAACAATGGATTTCCCTTTCCTCGCCTTCCCCTTCCCTTCCTTGACCTTCCCCCCCACCCCCCACTTTCCTTCATTTTCCTCTTCTTCCTCCTTTTCTGGATCCATGACCCAGTCATCTGGCAAAATCCCCACCTCTTACTATCATCACTTTGGGGTTAGGATTTAACATATACACTTTTTGTGTGTGGGGGAGTGTCACAACCTATAGCATTCCCTCTGTACATTCTGTCACATAAAAAGAGGGTGAGTGTGACTGCTTATTGCTCTCTGTTTATAATTCTTTGTCACCTGTTACCTACTTTTGTGCCTGATAACTTTGGTGTGGGCTTGATTCACTGGCTCATTGTTGATAATGTTAGCTTGATCAGGGTCTGCAGGTTGAAGTGCCACCTTCATATCTTTTGGAAGTGAAAAAGAGAGGGCTTTTGCTCTCTCTGAAAAAAATCTAGAAAGGACCCATATGGGTATATTATATCATATTTCTTGATACTTACTCACCTGTGAACTAACATTATTAAGTATACACTAATGTAAGGTCTTTTCAGGAGTGCTTTATCTTGTTTTTACTTCTTTCAACTAATGTGAGATAATCTTAGATTCATTTACAAATAAGGAGACAGACTCAATCTTCTGACTTAAAAACTATTTCCTAAATTTCTAACACCCATACTAGATTTGAACTAAGACCTACTCCAATCTAAGTAGTAGCCAGGGTAGCAATTCTCTGTATATATAGCTAAGTTAGATTATAAATTAAGATTGTTAAATTAGATTGATAATGGTTAATAATGAATACTGAAGTATACCTATTGGATTTATATAATTGTTGTCAGTGTGGGTTTAGAATCATGATCATGATTCATCCCTGGCCCATAGTTTTGAATTAAATGAGAAAACAGAGATAAAGGAATCAAGCAAAAAGATCAAATTATTAGTATAATCATTGATCAGGTCAAATTGGATTCTGGGTTAGGTTTATTGTCATAACAGGATTTACTAATATCTGGCTAAATTTAGATTCTGGGAGATCAAAGTCTAAGGAAAATCTAGATTTCAGACAGTATTCCTGTAGGTGACTTTATTATCACCAGGTTAGAGCCCCACTGAAGAGCATAATCTAAGGCATGACAGGAGAAGTATGCACCTCCCTATATAGGATGACCCCAAAAAGAGAGAATAGAAGGGGCAGAATTATATATGCTTATTATCTTCTCCTTAATTCAGTCATCATATCAAATATTATATCATTCTTTAGAGAGAGTTAGAGAAGGGTAGTACAGGTCAGTTTTCCCAAGAATGAGGCTCTAAGAGATAGATTTCATAATAGACAATATTATGGAGTAGTATACTTGGGCAACATCTTTGTGGAATTAGAGAAGAATTGGGTTGGAAAAATCTTCATTATGATTAACTTTATCAGAGGTAGTCATTAATTCTATATTGAGCTCTGGAACTGGGATGGCCCCTTGTAATTGTCCTGTCTTTAGTTGAGGTCGATGGATTCTGATATTCCTGCATTGAAAAGTTATTGGGTGAATTCACCTCTGGAAAAAGGACATGACATTAGGCAATGGGACTGTTCACCTGAAGGCACTCCCCAAAGAGAAAAACAATCAAAAGTCATGAGTTACTAACATCAGGGGAATGAATGGAACATGGGATAGGGAGAAATTTGATTTTTATTGTAGAATACAATGCAGAGATTCAGCAAAGGAGTAGTAACTACACTAAAATGATTAAGTGGAATTTTTTTCCCCCCTGGGATACAAATATGGCTTAACACAGGCAAATCAACACATATACCATATCAACAACAAAAAAAGACAAAAATCATATGGCCATCTCAGTATATAAAAAAAAATGACAAGATTCAACATCCATTTATGATAAATGGATATGGAAGGAATGCACCTCAACATAATAAAGGCCACATATGACAAATTCACAGCCAGTATCATACTAAATGTGAAAAACTGAAAAGTTTTTCCTCTAAGGTCAGGAACAAGATAAGGATGTCTACTCTCATCACTCATTTTCAACATAGTATTAGCAGTTCTGACCAGAGCAATTAGACAAGAAAAGAAAATAAAATCTGAATTATCTGAATTAGAAAGGAATCGAAAAGGAATGAATATCTGAATTAGAAAGTAAGAAGTAAAACTTTATAAAAGAAGTTTCTGTGTAATAGACCCAACGTAGGAAGGTGGGATAGTTGAAAAGATTGAGAAATGGGTCTCTCTAAACAATCTATGCAACACTGACCTGACCATGACTGCAAAAGAGTGGCTCAGCTTAGGACCCTGCATCAATGTTGAGTGGCTCCTGACCTAACAGGGGAGCATCCTGTATTTAGGGAAGACATGCATGAAACTTCTGGAAGTCGAGATACTTAGCTCTCTAAGACATAGGCTATTTTCACATTCCATTAGGAGACAAATTGATTCAGCCATTATTTATGGGAATTTGGTAAAGGATATAGCATTTTCATCAGGAGAATGGTTTAATATTTATAGACTATTTTTATTTTGAAGCCATTTAAAAAATTTAAGGAAATCTGTTGAATTTAAGGAAATTTAAGGTTGATAATTATATACTGCTTTATGGCCAAAGAAAGTTTTATTAGAATATGATGCACAGTATAATCCAGGAGTCAGTAAAATTTTTGTGTAAAGGATGAGACAAAATATTTTATCCTTTATGGGGTCATACTGCCCCTGTTGCTGCTACTCAACTCTGCTCTTGCTTGGCATCATCCACTGACACTGCTTAATAAATGTGGATGGATTTGTACCAATAAAACTTCATTAATGAAGACATTTTAATTTTATATAGTTTTTTCTCTGTTGTGAAATGTCACTCTTCCATTTATATAAATTCTCAGCACTCAAAAATATAAAACCCTTTTGTCCATTCTTGGCTCATGGGATGTATGTAAGCATATGTTGTGCCTGATTTGGCCTATGGGCTGTAGTTTGCTGACTTCTACTATAGTCCCATGTGTGTAATCTTCACACACACACACACACACATGTGCATCTGTATACCCTCACTGAAAATACTGTGTATATATATTCTGAACTTTTAATGGTCATCATTACTCCTGGAAATTACTGGTTAACATGAGTTTTGAAGCCAGACAGCATAGTTTTACAAGCCCAGCTCTGTCACTTATTAGATGCAAGACTTTAAAATATATTTATGAATATAGTAATAAAATAGCATTCTGAGAGTTGGCAGATGCCTCATTGGGTTCTTTTGAGGCTTAAATGAGTTAATGAAGTAAAACATTTACAAAGGTGCCCTACACATTATAGAACTATGTATATTCTGTCATTATATAGGAAGGTACAAAGATGCTCACTATTTCTAGTTTTAAAAATTTATTATGAAACTATATTTCACATATTATACACTTCACCATTTTGAAATATGTTCACAACATTGTGCAAGCATCCCCATAGTCAAATTCCTGAAAGTTTTTATCACCTGAACAAGAAATCCCATGTATTTCAGGAGTCACTCCCTATTCACTCCTTCCCATATGGCCTGGCAACCTCTAACCTTCTTTCTGTCTCTTTGAATTTTCCTACTTTGGACATTTCATTTAAATGGAGTCATATAATATGTGTCCTTTGTGTGTGCCTTATTTTACTGAAACTTTGTTTTGAGATTCATTTATAGACTATGTATCAGCTCTTCATTCCTTTCAAGGGTTGATTCTATTCCATTTATGGATCTAGCCACATTTGTTGATAAATTCATTAGTTGGTTTGTGCCTACTTTCTGGCTAATGTAAATAATGTTGCTGTGAATACCTGTGTATACAAGTTTTAATGTGAACATTTGTTTTTAGTTGTTTTGGGCATATAGCTAAGGGAAGAAAAGTGGAGTTGACAACCTCACTTGTTATATTCTATGCTGAATTTTTTAAAAAATAAGTCTTTTTTTAAAAATGATTTATTTATGCATACAAGAGCTGGGGTACAGGCCAGAGATGCGGTGGGTGAGAAGATCCACCAGAGACAGAGTGGGGAACAGAGCAGGCAGAGTGACTGAAATACACTGCTGAGGGGAGCAGCAGGAAAGTCAGGAGAGGTCTGCTGCGCCATGTGGGTAGCTCCCTGGCTGGCTGGGGATCGAACTCATGCTGCAGAGGCTTCAGACAGCTTCATAGGTTGTGTCTTATCCCCTTGTGCCACCAGGGAGGCCCTCTATGCTGATTTTTTTTAAGAACATTTGTAATATCGACTTAAAATATATTTATAAATATGGTAATAAAATAGTATTCTGTGATTCAGCAGGCAAAATTTTTCCATAAGCTTGAGGTTAGATGGTTCTTGTTTTCTGAAGGGCTGGAACTCGAGTGAGAAGTGTGAGGTGCGTGTCCACTTGCTTAAGGAGATAGGCACTTTCAGAGGCTTGCAAATACAGGCCTCCTTAAATTATGTACCCACACTGGGGCCTCCTTGGTGGCACAGAGTTTAAGTCTCAGCACTATGAAGCTATAGGC